GGACGGCATTTGTTCCCTCTTGAAACGCCGAACATACCGCGTAGTGTGCAGCTGAATATACAATGGCGTCTTATTTTGCTTACAAGCGACAGATTCCTTTATTTTTGTATCGCTGCATTTGTCATCAAAATAAACCAAACGCGGGGTTAAGAGTGAGGCAATAGATTATACATTTAGCCTGACGGTAGTGAAGTAAGAGAAAGAACTCAAGAGAAGATGAAAACACAGGCACTGAAAATGTGTGAGATGTCATGGGACATCGTCTGCTTGTGCAAATCATGTCCATACTGTGATCTCACACATCTCAGCAGCGTTCGGAGAGCTCTTCAGGTGCTATGCCGGGGCTGTATTTAAGCGTTTTGTAATTTATAATAATCATTACTTCGAATGTGTCCAAGCATTGAATTTTGATAACCTTGTCGAATCAAAGCTTCAACTTTGCAATAATGAAAATCAAGTTAGTTTTTAAAATCAATGGATATCTACTTTAAACGAATTCGTTTTCACTGGCTGCCTGCCGTATCAATAAACGAAATTAACAAAAGACTTAACTCCGTTTCATTGACAGTCAGCCGTAGACGAGAGTCTTCATGCATGGCTGATTGTCAACGAAACGGAGTTAAGTCTTTGGTCAAATCTGCTTTTTGCTACGGCAAGCACCCAGTGAAAACGAATTCGTTTGTTAAAATTATGAACATGTAAGGGCTACTTTAAACAAACAGAACTTTGTTATTCCTCGCTCATTTTTCCTGATTGAGGTGTCATATGAAAGGGCAGAAACTCAACTTTCTAGAAATGTGAATTTTTCTTCGAAATTCAGATACCGCCCGCCAAATGTCTTTTTGGTTTCCTTCCTTCAAATTGCTTTTAATCACTCATGCGTGAAATATGCATCATCGGAGTAGCATCAACTGAAAGAGGAGACTCTAAGCTTTCCAAATATGTATCATTCATTCATTATGGTTGTGATTAAGTTATGATAAAACATCGATACTTCTCGGTTTCGCTTTTTCTGGGACGCACTGTATTGTGTGTTATTGTTGCCATGGTTGCAGGTCGGGGCAGGCACAATTGTATTCTAGGCAATACTAATCCTTTTCTTTTTTCAGGGGGACGAGCAAGTGAAAACATTTAATACAAAATAGGCTAGCAAGCAGTTCGCGCCAGCGAAGAGTTTCGAATTTGTTATATCACTTATATTTTCCTATTTTCATTTGTTTTAATTTTTCAGGGCCGTATGCGGAATATTTTTCTGGTGGGGGAGGGGGAAAGATGCGTTAAAAGTTTTCGAAGAATCTCAAAAGCAAAAGGAGTGAAGGGAGTTCGAGCGACCGAACTGGTCAAGAGGGTACTTTTGCATTTTCAAAAGTAGAATTGAAGGATTTGGTATAGGCCTACACTACATTTTCAGGAAAAAAACTGTACGTTTTCAAAATATCTGGGGTCAACTGCCCCCCCCCCCCCTGGTGCGTACGACCATGGTCTTTTTTAAAAAAAATTCCCCATTTTTATTCGTTTCCTTTTCTTTTCCCTTTTTCTTTCTTTTCTCTTCTTCCTTTTTTCTTTCCTTTTTTTCCTTTTTTCTCTTTCTTTCCTTTTTTCTTCCCTTTTCCTTTTTTCTTTTTCTTTCCTTTCCTTTCTTTTCTTTTCTTTCCCTTTTTTCTTTTCCCCCCCTGGAGTCCGTCAGGGGGGGGGGGGCACTCTGCCCCCTGCCCCCCATAGGTACGCCAGTGGGCAACAGTTTGAGAAAGTGGGAAGGGTCATACAATATTAAATTCCCATTGGTCAACAGGTCCACTTCCTTTCATGTTCCCCCCGAACTTGAATTCAGGGAAATCCTACCAGTCCTACAGTATAGCCCGAAACATGACTCATAACTTTGATGGATTAGGCCATTTGACCAGTCTGTATTCCTGGCCGAAACCAAAACAATAATAAAATGGTCAAGGGTGTATTCCTCTTTTGTTATGTACATAACAAAAGAGGAATACAGCCATATGATGATACTGAGAATCATGACGCCTACTACTTTGAAAACATTGAGAATGGCTGTGTAGAAAGACATATTGCCCCCAGGGGTAACATAAACTCACCCTTGACCATACGAAATTTGAAAGGAAATGGACATGAGAAAAGCACCTAACTAGGAATAACAAGCACTACGTGCAAAACGAATGCGATTTTCTGACGAAGATAAGAAGAATATTTATGGGGCAGAATGTGAACGAAAACAAGGCAATGACGAAGGTCGTCATTGCAATAACATGCAGCCTTTTCACACACAGCTAAAATTCATCGTATCTAGAGATGATTAGTATAAACGTGTTTAACTCAACAGTTTTAAACATGTTTATAGAAAATTTTCCCTGTGTGAACATCGTTTATACGATGTAGGGATAGATAATAATTTTACCCCCCCCCCACCCTGAAAATGATCTCCCCCTAAAAATTACCCAACTTATTATCGGGGTTGACTTCCCCTTTAATGAACAGGGGGTATTGTTCTTGGTTGTCCCGGGGGGGGGGGGGGGTCAATGTCCTATATAGGGGTTAAGTTTCAGAGATGGGGGTAATCGTCATCGGGGGTAATTTTCTGGGCGTAGTTTGAGTCGTCGAGGGGTAATTGTCATTTGGGTAATTATCCTTGGGAGTAGTTTTCTGGGGTGTAATTGTCCTTATTATGATAGGCGAATAAGGTGGGAGGCCGGGATTGAAGCCCCCCCCCCCCCTCCCCCCGAAGAATGTTGCAATGATGTTTGGCCGTTCGTTCGAGCAACCGACAATTTCGGGTAACGATGTGGTCTATTGATTTGTAATTTAATGTAGGCCTACTAGTCATGAAGTTAAATTTTGTGACAAAATTAGATATGATTGATATTAAGAAATGCTTGAAGTTCGGTTCTCCGACAGTGATCCCAATGACAAAAAATAGGTCCGGCTTTTAAAAAAGTTGCCAGGGTTGGTATAGATTTGCAAAAAGTTTGTATTCATGTTGTGTCGCCTTTTAATCCAGCGTCGTGGCTTTGTAGCGAAAAGAGTGCTTGTTTATAATACGATACAGGATGTTTCTTCGATTACACCCCTCCTTTTCCCCATTTTTCTTTTAGTCTCCCTCTTCAATTTTATATCCTTCTTTCTTAATACTTCTATGCTTTAGGCTATAATTATTTTTCAATTTTTTTTCAATTGTTTGTGTGTTATCTAATTTTACCAACATGACCAACATGAATCATGACATTTTCGCTGCCATAAATTTCCCTCAGTTGACTGTGAATAAAATAAATATAGGGGTAGAAACTAAAATCCCAGTCTGTTGTTTCATGTGAAATAAACCTATATGAATGGCTATCGAAAGAGTAGTATAAATAATACATTAAGGGCATACGCCTGTCAGGCCTTTCAAATTGCTAAGGTGATTCTTACGTTGTTAGTTTTGCGAAAGTTTTATGGCGAATAAAAGGTGAACATTTTTCATCTCTATCCATTACATAAATATCTCTCGGCAATAAAATGAATGAATATTGAATAAATAAATAGATGAATGGATGAATTTAACATGTAGCATTATGTAGAAAATGTGGGGGGGGGGGTGGGGGCAGTGGCGGATCCCGGGGGGCCCGGGCCCCCCCCCTTGAGAAAAAAATCATGTAAAATCACGTGATTTTTACCTTTTTGGGGGGTTGGGCCCCCCCCCCCCCTGGCGCTCAAGGGGGGGGGGGGGTGCAAATTGAAATTTTTTTGAGGATCAAAAAAAAATAAATGTGCTCACTACCCCCCCCCCCCCCCCCCCCCCCCCCATGGAAGTGAATCGACGACTTCGTTTTCAAGATCATTTCGGAAAGTTTTATCTTTGAACTATTATTATTGAATGCATAAAATACTGCATAATTTAGAACAACTAGAAAACAAAAAACACAACAACTTGAAGTCTTGAACAAATAATCAAACAGGAAACCACATTTGCGTCACATAGGCCTACCCTAAAATTGTAATGATGATGATTATAAGACGATGTCGGCGATGATGATAATTCCTATGACGAAAATGCTATGCTTTTCCAACCAATATCCTAAAAATATACGCTAATTTATTTTTTAATCAAGATTTGAGAGATGTCGAGAATAATTTGCAGTTTAAAAAAAAAATTAAAAAAATGAAGTGCCATTACTCTCTTTCCAAAGTGTTTACTTTAATAGTGGTAGTTTTTTTTTGACAAAATGTTGTTATTGTGGATTTTTTTTTCTTCCCCTCTCCCGATTAGCGATAGAACACTGAAGATTTGACTGAACACATTATTAAAACATCATAGACAAGTCGCAGGATTTTACAAAGGCAGTAAAAAATTGTTTTTCCAGATCAGAAACTGATAAATAACAGTGCACTTGCATTAGGCCTACAGAGGCAAGGGAAGAAATAAAGAAAGAAATATCAATTATCAAAATAACATGTAGATCGAATTCTACTGGGAAGCAATTTGATTTGGCCTAACGTGTACCCGAGATGTTTCCTTTTTCTATACTTTTGATGCGCGCCCACCATCGGGCGGAATTAGGGCGGGTCTAGGCGGAATTAGGCAAGGAAAATGCCTCACGCAGACGGCGCGCTACGGACAATCGCTTATGATTTCGGGCGTAAGAATGGCATAGCTAGATTCGCTAGAATTTCGGCAACAAATTGGTATACATTAGCGCCTGTATAATTCATTTTCAGAGAAGTTATCTGAGAAAAACTGCCCATCGGGCGGAAACCGGGCAGGGTACGGTACTGTGGATTAAAATCATTATCAAGAGAGAATAGCTATCCATATTTTAAGTTCTGTAAATTGTAAAATTTGATATAGAAAAGATAATTTGATATTTTTAAAATGTAAACGAAGAAAAATATCTGTATGGAATTAAAAAGTACGAGCTGTGATAAACACAATTTTCCTTTGTTATTTTGCTAACTTTGCTACCGTACAATACTTGACAACAACGACAGAATCTGATCGATATCTTCAATATGAAGCCTGGCGCGACATTTGTTTTGTTGACATTATTAACCAAATTTTGGACGATAGGCCGGCTAGCTAGCGGATGACGCAAAGTGCTGCTAGATTTATTATAGCCTGAGGCTCAGGTAATACGTCTGGAAACATTCAGTGAGTTAGAGGTTGATAATTAATATGCAATTGAGAATTTGTAATCACTTATGTTGGAGCTGGGATGGGAGTGCAGCCTGCAGGGGAGCCGAGAGGTCGATCATATTGGCCGCCCCGCCCCCGGTGTAGGATACTAGGAGCGCCGGGGCCTGTTTACGCCAAGCTAGGCCTACGGCATACCATACCGTGGGGTGACCGTCGGATCTCGATCTCCTGCCTGGTTAGAATAGATCATAGATGCTGCAGGATGCCACGACCATGCCTTGAACATGGCCATTTGCACGGGCTCCCTCCAACTCCCAATAGGGTCTAGTTGCCTAGTCGAGGCTAGAGTATAGAGCTAGAGTAGAGACAGTGTTTTAATTTTTTTAAGGCAGCGTGTGGCAACCGTGAATACTCCACTTCATCCAATACTCCACCAATTGTTTTAAACACTCCTACATTTCATGTACCATCAAGGACTGGAACTCACTACCCTCCGACATCCAAAGGACCATGAACATCGACACCTTCAAACTCCAAGCAACCAACTTTTTACGCAACCAAGACTCGAGCAATGAGAACTAAACAAGCACAGTGCGAACTCCCTCACCCTCCTCGCTTGGTTCCTTACGGAACGTTGAGGAGTATCCCAGAAGAAGAAGTGAACCTAGACCGAATTTTCCGTCTCTTTCGTTCGTTAAGCCTCTTATTTGGGTAGGGGTAGGGTCGCAGAGCCGACCCTACCCAAATAAGAGGCTTAACAAACGAAAGAGACAGAAAATTCGGTCTACCGTTAACCGGGCCGGAATGCTGCAAGATCTGGACATGATGATATAAAGAAATACTTCTATTTTGTATCAACTATCATCTTGTTATCCTCCTTTATGTGAGTCTGTGCCTGTGTGAGTTGAGACTTCATTGTTAAATGTTTAAACAAAAATCAAATTCAAAATTTGTTTGTTGGTGAAAATATTTAATTATTTTATTGCTGTTTTTCATCTTTCCAGAGATTACAATTGAGCCATGATGGCTTCAGATGAACGGCCTGTTTCCATGGTGATGACATGCGATGATGCGGTGGAGATGATGTTCATGGATGGATCAAGGGTTCAGCTCTCCCCGTGTGGGTCCTGCTTCATTTACGATCCACCTCCAAGCCAAGCAGTCTCACACCCGTATCACGAACCAGCACCGGGACCGAGCCATCCTCTCTATACTTCTACCAGGACCCAACAGAGGACATGCTTCGTCACCAGCAGGTGCAGGTCAAAGGTCAAGGAAGCTCTTGAGTTTAGGAACAGGTTTGCTTCGTGTCCTTTCCTCTGTGCCGCAACTACTCAGGGAGAGATTCCATTGGTAAGACATTTTTTTAAAAGTTATGGATCCCTCTTGTAAGATTCACTTAATTAATGGAAGCCTTTTCAACTAAAAACATGAATTTTCTAAAAATAAATATTTACCAAGAATGTAAGATACAGTACAATACATATCTGCATCATAATTATCTTTGTTAAAAAATCTTATGTTTTGCAATTATATGTAGATAGTATCAATATATCCCATTATGATAATGTCTTTATGGCACATGAACAGATGACAAATGATCTGCATAGCATCTTGCAAATTGTAGCACTTTTTATATTCTGAACACCAACCCTGGCTTAGTTGAGTACACTTAACCCTAAACCTACAGTAACCCAAACCAAAGTCCTAACCTAACCCAAACCTTAACCATGTAGTACATATACATGCATCTTCCATAGAACATAGACTTTGAACCTAGTGTAGGATCACTGATAAATAGCAAGATTGCCTCCTCTCCTTCCAGGAACTGTATGCTGACATTACCCTAATGGAATGGTCCAACTCTACTGATAAGTGTACCTTCAACCAGCTCCCCGACCATTCTCTTGAGCTAACATCGGTTGACAGCCTTGCAACGATGGTCCTGTCTCCCAGCGCACAGGACTTCTCGGTCAAATACCTCTGTAAGCTCAGACCAGAGGGTGATACGACAACGAACATCAAGAGAGGGACTGGTCATCAAGAGATGCAACAGTTGGAATTCAGTGAGGACAACCAGGAAAGCCCTGATATTAGGTGCCTCCAAAGGACTAGCATGGGTGACATGGCACACTGCCAAGACTATAGGGGTGGAGGACACACCAGTCAGGGTGGACAACCTTTAGCGCCATACTTTCAAAGTCTTGATACTGACCCTGTGAGGAAGTCCCAAAGGGTATCCCCAGAGGAGAGAGTCCCTATGGAAAGGAGGAGGACGAGGTGCAAGTTCTGGTACACGTGGGTTGTTCAGAACCACTCTGTTGCCCACTGTCCGTGGTATTGGAGGTACCCTCTAGATCTGTTGATGAATCGCAAGGCAGATCTCAGGAAATCATTGGATGAGGATGAAAGTACTCCTTCTCATTTAGGATATGGTAAGACAAAAAATGCTAACAAGAACCAAATGGCACAGTCAACCAATTCAGCTAGTAGCCAACTGGTTAAAAAAGTGCTGTTTATTTCTTCATAGTTTCTGCTTTGTTAAATGCTGTTGTCCAACTTGTGAGTTGTGATAATCACAAAGTCAATGTTTGGATTGCTATGAGTACTAGTACATATACCTGTACATTGTATTTCCTAATTGTCACCAGTCACCACCTGTTTGTACTTTAATGTACAAACCGCAAGTGATGAAGAAAGCGTAGGTCCCTAAGTTCTTACCGTATGTGTGTATTGTAAAATGTGTCACCATCATCATTTATTAAAGTCAGCATTTTCCCTCTTACGAGGCATTACTGACTTTCATGCCATGATGACACTCCCTTGATCCCTCCACTTGTTGTCTCCAGCATCCTCATTTAGAAGAACCTTACTGCTTTCTTTCTTCACCATATCTTTCCATGATATCTTTGGTTCTTCCTTTCCTTCTTATGCCATCCACTAACAGATCCCACACTCTTTTTACAGGTTCATCATCTTCCCTTCTCAACACATGACCCATCCATCTTAGTCCACTTCTCCTTACCACTTTCATCATGGTTTCTTCCAGACCCAACCTTTCCTCTAAGCTCACTTGTGTTTTTTCTATCGGACAGTTTCACACCACATAAATGCAAATGCTCTGCACTTGTGTCATTCGTAATGTCTTTATGAGGACGTTTGATACATCCTTTGTGAAAGCTGCTTGATAAAATAGCATTTCAACGAACACCAAGTCAAATTACTGTCTACATCTTCAGTTCAGTCTTTATTTATTCTTCAGTTTAAAAAAAAATCATGCAAACAAAGGATCATCGTTAAAAGCCTATTGAGGCTTCTAAAGATTTGGCAAGTAATGGGAATTTAATCAGTCATTAAAAATGATTGACGAAATGACTTTGTGATGACAATCTACCGATATTCATAAGAAGGGTGATTGGTATGATTTAAGCTTTCTTTTAAAACCCTTCTGTACTAGTTTGGCCAGGGGGATAAAACCTCCCTGCAAGGTCACTGACAGGTGGTTATCTCATCAAATCAGCTCTCAATTAACATGAAAAAAGAGGATCATGGGGGACCAATGGTCACCGATTAGGCATTGTTTTCTAAATAGAGGGAGCAAGTAGCTTCAAGTAGTACAGTGGGGCTTTAAGCTTTCTTTTAAATTCATTTAGAAAAGGGATTTTTCACTCTCTCAACAGATGTAACTACAGATCCTGGCAATAGGCACGATGTACCAGAGAAGTTTCTGACCCATTCCAGTCCAGTTCCGCCCTCCTTACCTCTCCGCTGTGATCAAAGTCACCTTCACAAGCATCACTGGAGATCAGTCAAGCCGGAGCGCCCTCTTGACCATAGTGGTGAGGCTGATTCTCTTACCATGTATGGGAGAAAGGTCTCTGTTCTTGTCTTAGGAGGAGTGGTTTACAGGTAATAATATTGAGGGGTCAGGACACAAAGACGTAACTCCATTTTGGCCATTTTGAGAAAAAGTGTTTACGTGTCACTGAGCACTTGGGCCTTAAGGAGTCAAGTCTATGTTTCACTAGCCATTGACTTCAATGGGGTGTTGGTTGGATGGAAAGCACAAATTTTTCTGAACATTTTGATATCAAATACTCATTTTGGCAAAATATGGAGTTACGTCTTTGTGTCACTGAATCCTTGATATACTAATAATAATCTGGATATAGCGCTAATACATGTTACCATCTCTAAGCGTTTTACAGATATTATTACCCCGGTCATTGAATTCATTCATGCACAATCTCCACTCCCTGGGGAGTATTCCTACCATACGGTCACCAGGAGGGCAAATATGGCAATTACCAACATAAAGGCTTTCGTTATCCCTCCAGGTCCCCATTTCTCCTGTGAGTATGGAGAGGCACATGTAGATTGATGCCTTCCAAAAAGGTACATCTCTAATGCATCAGTTACAATGCCAGTTGACTCTTAACCGATTCTGAACCGACCGATTCTCGGCTGTTAGGGGTCATGTGTTGTTTAGTTTGGCCTGTTCTTAGTCTGTTTATTGGTCTTATTGGTCAGACTAAGGTACATATATAATGACTCAAAGCAAGTGCTGCATTCATACATGATGCAGGAAATGAAGTTTTGAATTATACACACTCCCTGGACATGATGTGTACAATGTAGCTGTCACATATTGTTAATATATTTGGAATATATTGTAAACAAAATAATATACAAGTACTCTGTCTGTTTTTTGTTTTTTTTCTTTTGGAGGGAGAATATGACACACTATTAAAGCGGAAAGACAAAATAAAAATATAGGAGAACTACGACAATGGAGGAAGAGAAGAGAGTGGTATGAAGAATAAAAACAAAAAGACAGATGGTTACACATATTTAACTTCACATTAACAACATGTTTCTATTTTTAATCCATACTTTTTCTCAAAACAGATTATTCTGGAATCCTATTCCATCGATGGAGATCTATCCTGGAAACGGAGACGTGATCGTGTCTCATGACGAGAGAGGATCTTTCTTCAGACTGATCAAGGTTTGTAGTGACGGCGCCCTCAAGGACCTGATGATGTCAGTGTCCAACCCTTCTCCTGACACTCCACATTCGTCATACAGCATCGCTGATCTTGTGAGAAGGGGTTCCAGGTAAATTACAATCTCAATTCATTGAAAGGAAGCAGGTGAATTTTCAAATATGTAAAAATTGGATCTTTTGAGGATGATCTTGGTGTCCAATCCTTCTCCTGTCACTCCCTACTCGTCATACAGCATCGCAGATCTTGTGAGAAGGGGTTCCAGGTAATTCTTATACAGTGAAACCTGTCTATAAAGACCACCCAAGGGAGACAAGAAAAGAAAGTGGCCTTTGTAGACAGGTGGTCTTTGTAGAGACAGGTTCCAGCAGTACATGTTTCAATGAGAAACCTATTTCAAGGGAAACCAAAAATGTGGTCTTTGCAGACAGGTGGCCTTTGTAGACAGTTGGTCACTAAATCAGGTTTGACTGTAACTACAACCTCAATTCATTGAAAGGAAGCAGGTGAAATTTCAAATATATATGTATAAAATGAATCTTTTGTGGTAGTCTAACCATGATGAGGCAAGTTGGCTCAGTCGGTAAAACATCTGCCTGTCGAACCAGAGAATGTGGGCTCGAATCCAACCAAAGTGAATGACAGAAGCCTGCATTGTGTGTTTAGATGCCCCTCCCTTGTTTCATAAATGCGGGCTATGTTACGGTGGAAAACACTCCGTCCCTTGGATAGGACTTTAAATGGGGGTCCCTTGTAGAAGAGAGTCACCACCTTTGCACGTTATGAACCCACTCGAGATGAAATCTGTATCCTGACAAAATTGTGAGGTCTACTTTTAAATAGAAGTGCAAAATGATGATTAATCGTTTAAAAAAAATTCAGTCGGTTGGAAATATCTCAACTTTCAAACGGGAGAGGATGTGGGTAAAAACAATGGAAAGTGATTGAGGGGTAGAGGACAGATGAAAAGGCAGGATGAGAATCAATTATAGCACACACATTCATAAATTGTTTTTTTACGATACCTTTCAGACTCCTGCACTGTATGTTAGTGCACCTGAGGACATGTGGAGATGGAGAAGATCTTTTCTGCTGGAAGGTCAGTACATTTAATGACCATAGTCAGAAACGTAACAAATGGTGATGATTCACTACTACATGATATGTGCACTACAAATTTTTCTAATGTTTTTATTATTAAAAAAATACATTTCCTTCTTAATGGACTCATAAGCCTCTGTGATATTTCTGTTTATTAATTAGAAACTTGAGAAAGGCGATATGTCAGGCGACGCATCAGGGGTCCTTGTTGAAAGGAGCATCATACCGGGCCTAGGCCAGCTGGAAGCTTATAACGATGGTCTCATCCGGGGATATTTCAATGATGCAGTTACCATGGAAACAATGTGCGTGAGTCAGGTTCGGTTGAATGCTGGACCAGTGGACTTGGAGGTAATGATCTAGTTTTATATTTAGATACAATTAGGCAATGCTTAGCTCACTGATATGACGGGTGTACCACCTGATAGTAATGTCCAGAATATGCGATAAAATGTAGGGGTTTCGTTCTCGGTTTTGTATCAAAATATAGCCTCAATGAAGCTCAAATTGAATGCGAGACCAGGGGACTTGGAGGTAATGATCTAGTTTTATATTTAGATACAATAAGGCCATGCTTAGCTCACTGATATGACGGGTGTACCACCTGATAGTAATGTCCAGAATATGTGATATAATGTAGGGGTTTTGTTCTCGGTTTTGTATCAAAATATAGCCTCAATGAAGCTCAAATTGAATGCGAGACCAGTGGACTTGGAGGTAATGATCTAGTTTTATATTTAGATACAATTAGATTATGTTTAGCTCACTGATATGACGTGAGTACCACCTGATAGTAATTCGCAGAATATGTGATAAAATGTAGGGGTTTCATTCTCGGTTTTGTATCAAAATATAGCCTCAATGAAGCTCAAATTGAATGCGAGACCAGTGGACTTGCAGGTAATGATCTAGTTTTATATTTAGATACAATTAGACAATGCTTAGCTCACTGATATCACAGGTGTACCACCTGGGCTCTGTTGCATAAAAATTATCATTGATGGTAACTTTGCCATCATTATTAACTACCCTGGCAACGTCACTCAACAGCCAATCAAATCAAGGTTTCCAAGAAAGTTAGTTACGATTAATGGCAGAGTTACCATCAATAGTATAGTATTAATGACTGCTTTGAGAGAAATAGTTGTTTTTATACGCTCAAGGGAAGGTTAGAATTGTGCTATTACCCGAGGCGTGCCGAGGGGAATAGCCCAATTGTAACCTTCCCGAGAGCGTATAAAAACAACTATTTCTCGAATATTAAAGCAGTCATTAATACTTTTATATGCCGAAAAAAAATAGACTAAAAAATAAAAAATAAAAAATACTTTTTTTTTTGTCGAAGGTGAGAGTCGAACCCTTGCCTACAATTAGTGATGAATCTTACACCAACGCCTTACACCACTCGGCCATCGCGCACTGTTCACATACTTGGCAGTTTTGTACAATATATACATTAAAATGAATTGAAACCGGCTTCGGCGTGATGAATGCTTCGCAAAAGCACCCTTCTTTTACTTTTGCAATGCATATTGGCACGAACTTAGATCAAGATCTATCGGCAGATGTTGTTTTTTTGTTTTTGGAAGTTTATTTTCGTCTTCATGTCAACAATGCAAGATAAAATTGTCGGTAAGATCGATCGAGATTCAATTGTATTGAAATTACCGACCAATCCTTCGCACACATACGGTATCCTCGATCGCTCAAACCATTTTTTAACATGTAAACCTATGGGGTAACCATGGAGGCTGACCTATTTTTTTAATAACCATGGTTATTAAAAATATTAAATGTTTTATGCATGGTTACCGGGAATTTTACAGGAACAGTTGAAGTTTATGAATGCAATTTCGACCAATCAGATGGCTGGATTACTTAAGTGAGGTATATAATAAGTTTTACTCAACAGGATTCTGATACTGATAGTAATGCCAAGAATATGTGATAAAAAGTAGGGTTTCATTCTCGGTTTTGTGTCAAAATATAGCCTTAATGAAGCTAAAATTATTTAAGAAAAATATATATCTTTTTTCTTAGTCAATTGTTTTTTCCCTTTCTTAGTGTGCAGTATTTTACTATTATTGTTTATAT